AAATCCATATATGTGAGCATATATGTAGTGTGTGTGGACAAACAGTGGTTATTTGGGGATTGTGAGATTACGGCATATTTTTTTTTTTCTTATATTTTTCTCTAGTTCCAAGTTTTCTGTGATGAGTTTGTAATATTCTTACAATAACTTTATGTTTATAAAATATTTTATTTTATTTATTTTTGGAGACAGTCTGCTCTGCTCGGCCCAGGCTGGAGCACAGTAGCGTGATCTTCTCCTCACACAAGCTCTGCCTCCCGGGTCATGCCATTCTCCTGGCTCGCCTCCCGAGTAGGCTGGGACTACAGGCGTCTGCCACCGCGGCCCCGGGCTAATTTTTTGTATTTTTAGTAGAGACGGGATTTTCACTGTGTTAGCCAGGATGGTCTTGATATCCGACCTTGTGATCCACCCCACCTCGGGCCTCCCAAAGTACTGGGATTACAGGCGTTAGCCACCGCGCCCAGCCTATAAAATATTTTATAAGATGTAATGAACCAGTCCAAGTGACATATTAGGAGAGCTGCAGCAAGAGTACAATCACACCTATACTTACATGCCTTTAAAAAAGGACACAAGAGTGAAAAGGTGGATCCTAAAATGACTTCTAGTAAATAGCAGAGTCATCAAGGAAACAAAGACTGGGAATGGACTAAGTAAGCCAAAAGTTTAAAAAAAAAAAAAAAAAAAAGTGAGGAGCAGGATAGCCAGAGACAGTGGGGTAAAACCTTGCAACCTTCAGTTTAATAGATACTTTCAACAGATCCTCCCCAATGAACTAGCATTTTAAAACTGCAGTAAAATGAGTTTTTTTCAAAGAGAACTCCTCCACCAAAAAAAAAAAATTAGAAAATGAAGAACACAAGCTATAAGGGAAAACAAAATTATTAATAAAGTCCCATCACATTTTTTTCCCAAGAGTGAGGTCACATCAAAGAGCTCAAAACAAATACATTCGGTTTAAACCTTTCGAACGTAACAAGTTATCCTGTCTGCAGACAAAGAAAGGAGCCTCCTTTCGGATAGACTCTGTTACATTTAAGCACTGGGTATGTGAATATTTGCTGAGAAATACATTGGTGTCTCTGGCTTCCTGTCTTGTTTCGCTCCCCAGTCTCTTGGATGGGAGTTTCAGCCTGTCTAACTACACATTTGGGCATCTTCTGGTCTCTTATTCTTAGCTTCTATTACTGCAGTGGAACCATCCTGAGAAGGGTAACTTTAGGTTAGCGTGATTCTTACAGTGCAAGCAAAAAAGAGCCAGAAGTGTTTGGTAAAACTATTTACTGGTTTTACACACACACACACACACACACACACACACACACAAAGTTTCTGTGCCATTTACTGAAAGGTATCACTTTCTTTCCTGTCTTCCTCCTTCCCTCTCTCTCCCTTTCCTTCCTTCCTCCCTCCATTCTCTCTCTTTATCTTTTCCTCTATCTCCTTCTTTTCCCCTTATTTTCTTCCCCTCCCTTCCTTCTTTCTCCCTATGCAAGTACTCATTTCATAGCTTTGTCAAGCATTTGCTGTGTGCCACCCCTGCATTACCCAGAGTGAATATAAAGATACATAAGACCCAACACACGCTGATATTAGACTTACTGTTTTTTGTGTGTGTGTGTTAGCTCCCAGTTGAACTCTAGTATCCATGCAGACACTGATGTTTATTAGGTGCCTGGCACTTTCACAGAGCTTGTTTTACTTAATTCCAGCATCTACCCAGAAGTGGGTGTTATCACCATTCCTGTAATACAGATGGTTGAATTTCAGCCCAGAGGCTTTAAATACCTAATTGAGACATTCAGCTTCTAAGGGGAAGTATCAGGAATTTACTCTGACTTTCCTGACTCTGAGTTCAGTGCTTTTTCCCACTGTGCCAGAACTATTGACTATGAAGGATTATGTTCATAGTTTGAAACTGTCACCTTTTGCATATTGCACTGCACATGGAGTATACACAATAAATATGTGCATGAAATAGGGCATGAATTGTATTATAATGGTCCTGAATAACTCATTTCATATACCTGTATTTGGCAACATTGTCCAGAATTTTCATACGCACGTGCATTTTTCATACACAGGAAACTGGTTAGGCATAGATAGCAAGGTGGATAGCCAGGAGTCAGCCTTCAGACAGGTCAGTAGACATACACACTTACATAAGGGTTTGTTTGCATTCTGAAAACATGCCTACTCAGATTGGAGCTGGTTACAAAGGACACACGGGAAGCAAAAATGTTCAGTTTCCAAATGATGATCAAAGTCACTCTTGAAATCATAATAGAAACATCACATTTGTTTTAACTTTGAGGGTTTAAAAACTTATCAACATGGAGACGGAATTATCTAACAAACACATCCACGTACCCATCACCCAGAAATTCAGATTGTCCACATTTTGTCATATTTCTTTCAAGATTTTTGTTAAAGAAATAAAATGTTTAAATGTTTTGTAATGTTGAAATTTCTTTTGTTATCCATGCCTGATCCACCTCCTCCCCTCCTCATTCTGGTAAAGATCATTAGAGGTCTAGGTTCCAATCAGCTATTTATACATGCACATGACCACATGTTTCACAAGCAACTTATGCTATTTTTATATGTTTACTACAAAATACACATAATGGTATCATGCTACTTATATCATTCTGCAGCTTCCTTTTTTTTTTTTTTTAAAAAAAGCATCTCTATGTTTTGAGCTCTATGTTAAAATATAAAAACCTAATCAATTTCTTTTATTAGCTGTGTAGCTTTTTGCCATATGAATAAAATAATTTCTTATGCCCTCTCCTATATCTGTTGATGGACATTAAGATTGTTATGAACAATACCACAATCAACATGCTTACACAAGTTTCTAGCCCTCATACACACATTCAAACTTTTCTAAGGTTTTTACCTAGAAGTCTAATGCCTCAACATTCTCAATCCACAACTATTTATTGAATCTGAGTGCTGTGTTAGACAATCTATATTCTATGTGTTTCATAGAATATATGAAGTGGCATACTAAGTGCATGTTTAATTTTAACACATATTGACAAATTGCTCTCTGAAATGATGGTACTAATTTACCCTCTCACTAGCAATGCATATGATTGCTTGCTTCTCTCTACCTTTTCCAATGCTGGGTATTGTCAGACTTTTAGATCTTTGGTAACCTAATAGATAAGCAACAGTATCTTCTTATTTCAGTTTATATTTCCCTGATTTACTGGTGTAATGTTGCATCTTTTTGTATTTACCGGCTGTCCAGGTTTCTTTTTTTGTGAATTACCTGCCCATGTGCTTTGGCCATGTGCAATTTTTTTTTTTCCCATTGGGTTATCTGTGGGGATTTTTTTTCTTACTAACGTAACAAAAATTCGTTCCAAATATGATCCATTTAACTGCTGTTTGACTGTTGTCAATATGTTTTTACTTAATCATTGTCAGGTTTATAGTTTAATACTTTTTTTTCTTTAGAAAAGGCATACACGTTCAGTTCCAACTGTGTGAAGGGCTTCTTTTCTAATCCTATGCAAGATGGCATACATAGTCTCTGCAATTGGATGAACAGCTGTACACAGCTTTTGCAGATCTAAGTAAAAAACTCTTCTATAAAGGTATTCAAAGTTCTTCTCCAAACCTGGGGAGCAGCCCTCTTTTAGCTTCTTGGGGTTAGAGGGAGGCTAGCACATTCCATACACAGGTGGGCAAAACAAGAGGAAATGGACTTTACTTTTACAAACCAGTGGCTGAGCAGAATCTACTCTTCTCACAACCTCAAAGTAGTTTGAAAGTACTTTCATTAAATAAAATTAATCATTAAGTGATCATGGTTTAGGCATCTCAGATTTAAGAGTTTAACTTTGACTACATCGAGTCATTCTATGTCTTCTCCCCTTACTAAAAGCAGGTTTTAATTATGTAACCATGTTTAGAGAGGTCTAGGGAGTTTTTACCCTTATGCCTTCATCCTGATTGGAAAATGGTTTGCAAGAACTTGTTAGGAGCTGTGGAAACAAAAATATTGGGCAAAAAACTTGTGTTTCTATATAAATATTTACAAACATACTAGACTATAAACTCTGTGAGGTGAGGGCCTGTGTTTACTCTATCCACAATGGTTATATCCTCAGCATTTGGCTCAGTTGATAATCTTAGGGGAATGTGCTCAACATTCTCCATCCACAACTATTTATTGAATCTGAGTGCTGTGTTAGACAATCTCTATTCTATGTGCTTCATGTAATCAAAGCGACCTAGACAAAATCCCCGCCCTTACGAACCTTACATTCTAGTGGCAGGAAATACTATAATGCCAGGGAGAAGGGAGAGAGAAGTGAGAATGAAGAAAAATGTTGCAGTGATGCACAGCTCTTTCTGTCTCTTTGGGATACAGAGGAGGGGGCGTGTGTTGGGGGGAGGAGGTGGGAGTTCTATTGTAGAAAATATGGCCTGAGAAACTGCATGAGGAAGAGTCATCATGATTTGATAGATGGAGATAGAGAAAATCACAACGTCAGGGCTCCAAAAAAAAATCACTTCCAGTTTTGGGAGGTAATTTCAGCCTCTTTGTATGTTGATTTGGGGCAGGATGTAAGCCTTGAGGAAAAAAAGAAGTGACTAAAGCTTTTATTTTAGATGAGAAGGAGTTAATGAATTTGTAAAATATGCTCCGAAGGAGTACAGCAGTTTGCACGTGGGGAGAACAGCTGGCTCCAATACAGCTTGGTGGTGGGCTTTGGCTGGACTGGTCATCGCCTAAGTATTTTGTGTATTTCTGATTACCTATCTCTCCAGGAGCCCATGTGAGCAAGACAGGTCTTCAACCTGGTTCAATGCTCCCATCCTGCAGGCAACTACAAACTGTGGCTCACTGGATGATTTAACAAAAAATGAGAATTGTACAGTGCAGCCTCGAGTTCGTGTGTAGAAACTGCCATCTGCACAGACAAAACATTCAGAGGACTAAGATTGTAAAGCTATTAATGCAGACTTCCTTCTTGCTTCATTTATTTTAAAAAAATCTATTGCACGTTCCTAACAGCATCTAGGAGCTATTTCTTGCTTCTTCCCCCCAACGCCAGACTAAAGAGAAAAAAAAAATAGGCTGTTTAAACCCTCGTCTGGTTTTGTTTTCCTAGTCGAGTACTTAAATTACGGGTGCTTCATAAGTATCTTTTGATGGATTTCATTGTTTTGTTTATTTTGCTTTAGACAATACAGACACCTTCATATTTTCTTCTGTAACAAATCTTTTCCAAAGTCTTCATTTGACATGGCTGATGGAGCTGGTCTGCACGGACTTTAGCTTCCACACACAGAACTTACGGCCTCTTTGAGGAACCAATTTTTCAAGCTAAGAGAACAAATGAAAGTGTTCACTCATTTTTCGAAAAATATTTATGTACTTGGTATCCAGAATGTGACATTGGTTTTACACGTTGGTAGGCTTTTGTCCTAAATTTCTGGGAAGTTACTTCGTCATCTAACGTTTTATTTTCCACACTTATTCGTCTTTAATATGCTACAGAAAACCCCTGTCGCTCAGTGACTGTTTTCTCTCTCTCTCTCCTTAATATTATTTAGGAATGGAAGCCTTGACTTTTGACGGTCCTTTTAGTTTTATTCTCCTCTCGTGACTCCCCTCTGTACACTCACAGCCGAGGCCGCCGGCATCTGGGCTGAAAGAACCCGTGGCGGGCGAGGAGAGGAGGGTGTCATATTGGCGACAGGCTCCTGCTGGCGGCCGGCGAGCCCGCGGGTTAACGGGGGCGCCGGGGTCAACGCCCTCGAAGTTGGGGGCCTCGGGCGGGGCCGCGCGGGAGCCACGACGGTCGCTCGACCAGAGCATCCCGCAGTCCCGTTCCCTCCAGAGGGGAAGAATGGCCGAATCCAGCACGATCCCACGGAGATCTTCCTCTTCCCGGTGCAGTCTCCGCTACTGAGCGCGGGACCAGCGCAGGCGATGCCGGGCGGCCGACAGGGAAAGCCCAGACCTGGGGCAGCGAAGGAACGAGGGGCCGGGGCCGGGGGGATTTCCTCCCGCTCTTCCCTCTCCAACGGGAGCGGAAAATGTGATTTGCTGTGCATTCCAGGCGCGGTTCCCTGGGGTGACCTCTCCCAGCCGGCCCGGGCGGGGGGAGCAGACAAAGAGGCGAGGCGGGCGGAGAGGGGACCCCGCGGGGAAGCAGGAGGGGTGCGGGGGGCGGGGGCAGTACCGGGAAAGGGGGCGGATAGCGGGTCTGGCGGCGGCGGCGGCGGCGCCTGGCCAATGGAGAGGCGCGGCCCCGGGCGCCGCGCGCTGCCGCCGGCATTTAAACGGGAGACGGCGCGATGCCTGGCACTCGGTGCGCCCTCCGCGGACCGGGCGACCCAGTGCACGGCCGCCGCGTCACTCTCGGTCCCGCTGACCCCGCGCCGAGCCCCGGCGGCTCTGGCCGCGGCCGCACTCAGCGCCACGCGTCGAAAGCGCAGGCCCCGAGGACCCGCCGCATTGACAGGTGAGCGCGAACGCACCGGGCAGGGGTGTGAGTGGGCTGGGGGGAAGAGGGCCGCACACGAACCGCAGGACCCGCTCACTTCCACGCGCTGGAGGCCTCCGTGCGCTCAGGCCCGGGTGCGCTGTTTGCGGGGGCGAATCGTGAGGAACCATCGCGGGGTCCTTCCTGCTGAGGTCGAGGACACCGTGACCTCGCTGCTCTGGGTCTGCAGGGAAACGTAGGAGAAAAGGTTATCAGGAGCGGGCAGGATGACCCCACATCCCGTTTCCACTCCCCGGAGGGCCCCGAACACGCTTCTGGTGCTCGTGGTAGCAGCGCGGGGCAGACGCGCCGGCTTAGCGAGGGCGCGGAGTCCGGGCCTCCAGAGCGCAGGAGCATCGGGACCTGCGAGTCGGCCGCTGACGGCGCGGCCAGTTGCCTTCAGAGGGTCCCCTGTGCTTGAGGCGCCGCGCTGGGTCTGGGGGCGTCTTGGGGCTCCCATTGGAGTCCGCGGGCTGGAGCATCCGGAGAATCCATGATGTGTGCATTTGCCCATCCCCGAGGTGAGATGGAGACTGGCAAGAGCAGAGCCGCTGTGTTCAGCCACAACGGAAAACCGAACTGTGGGTAACCCGACAGCTGGGGTGCGGGGCGCGGCCCTGGCCGCGGGGTCCAGGGAACCCGCAGTGCTCACAAGGCGCACACCACACGCGCTCGCGGACCGGCCACGCACTCGCGGGCGCTCGCTTCTCTACTCCAGCCTCTTCCCGGCCCCGCACACGCCCGGACTGAATGGTAGACGTTCTGGCGCCGGGCAGCGGCCACCGGCTGGTTTCCACTTCCGCGCGCACCCCTTAAACTGTGTTCTAGAGGCCCCGGCCTCGCCTCGCTGCGCCTCACTAGCTCCTGAGGACTGGGGACTGGCGGCTGAGGCGGGTTGGCGGCTGCAGCGAGCTGGGCGTCTTTCGTTCTCTCTTGCTGCCTGGCTCGCCCCGCTCGCCCCTCCACAGCCTGCGGAGCAAGGCCAGAGTAGGGGAGTGGGAGGTACATCGGGGCTGTCACCTCCTTGCTGGCCGGAGTTATTTGTAGACTACAGGCTCCGGAAGAACAGACGCGCCACCGCTGTCGCTTGGCATTGCCTTCAGATCGCAGCTCCTCCTTGGGGGCGCCCCAGCTTGGTATTTATTTGCCTGCGCCAGGCTCTGGCGACGGTCCCCGGGCCAGGCGAGGAGGGACGGACGGCAGGTGACCAGCCTCTGCTGTGAAGAAATTCCCGTGCGCCCGGAACTGTCCCTAGTGCGCTTCTCGACCGACTCCGAATCCTGGCTCTTATAGACAGAAATACAGCCTCAGCTTTAGGGGTTAAAATCTCCTCTTAAAGGGTCCGAGGGCAGAGAGGTGACCACCGATAGGTAATTGGATCTCCTGCTGGAAAGAGCGAATCTGAGCGGTGTGCGCGTCTGTTTATGTTCCCCTTCGAGATGGTGCCAGGACACGAACTGATTAAAACAATCTATTGTGTTAAATGGGTCACTAGGGTTTTAAGCTGTCCCAGGGACCCCAGAGTAGTGGCTTCCTTCTGGCTGTACACACAAGTTAAATAAATAGCGTAGAAGAGGTTAAGATAACCCATTCTCGGGTGAGGAGTCCTCTTTCATCCCTAGGGCTTCCCCCTCCCCTTTTATCTTTTTTTTGGAAGGAGGGGGAGCATGAGAGTCTTGTGGGGGGATGTACTTTTCAAAGCAAGGAGGGAAAGATCTTAAGAAAACTATAGATTCTTACTGCCCCCCCAAGCCAAGTCTACAACAGTAGGTGATTTGATTACTATCTCTGGATAAATGGCACTGTCAAAATGTTAATATTAACTATTTAAGGGATTTTTTAGCAGGGTAGTGACTCTGTGTGTGTGTGTGTGTGTGTGTTTAACCTCCAGGTCATTGTAGGAATTAGAGTCTTTTGTAAACTTTGTAATTTCACAGGTTTCCTATTTTCTTAAAAGTTCATTTTTAGTGAAATGTTTTGGTAACCCGCGCTCTGTAGGAAATCCAGGTTGGCTAATGTGGTCTTTATGTGAGTAGTTACACAGGGAAGAATAAAAACCTATTATGTCCCCACATCTCTGAATGAGGGCTGCCTACCCTGTCTTTGAAACTAAGTCGAAGATGCCTTCAGTCTTAATGGTCAGCTATTAAAAGTGATAAAATGCAAAGAAATTTCATGCCACAGACACCTCCCCCAAGAACTGTTGTTGGCGCATGTTCCACAGTAAAGGACAGCCAGGAAATCTAAACCTTGTATGTAGAGGAAAGGCAGGTGGGGGACAGTGGTTAGGGGAGGTGACTGCAGCCTCTAACCAAAAGGCAACTATCAGGCAAGTGCTACCAGCTCGTGTCTTACATCTACCTGCAGGAATTTTCTTTAGTTTTAACATATGCTCTTAGAAATTCAAAGTACAACAGGAAGTCCTGGGACAAGAGAAATCTTTTTATTCACATGTGAACATGAAGATACAAAACAGATAATTATTTTATTTGTAGCACTCTTCAAATTGTATTGCATTAGAAAAATATCCATTGACCCACTGTTAAGGACAGCACTAGGTGTCATTAGGACAGTGGTTAAGGACCTGTATTTGGGCTAGATAGAACTGGTTTTAAACCGCTGGCTCGGCCGGGAGCAGTGGCTCATGCTTGTAATCCAGCACTTTGGGAGGCCGAAGCGGGCGGATCACCTGGGGTCGGGAGTTCAAGACCAGCCTGACCAACATGGAAAAACCCCGTCTCTACTAAAAATACAAAATTAGCCAGGCGTGGTGGCGCATGCCTGTAATCCCAGCTACTTGGGAGGCTGAGGCAGGAGAATTGCTTGAACCTGGGAGGCGGAGGTTGTGGTGAGCCCAGATAGTGACATTGCAGTCCAGCCTGGGTGAAAAGAGTGAAAACGCCATCAAAAAAAAACTCCACAAAAGCCAAAAAACAAAACAAAAAAACGCTGGCTCTCCCACTTATGAGCTTTGTGACGTTGGACAAATTTCTAACTTTTCTGAGTGTAGATTCCCTGATTGGTAAAAGGAAGATAATATTATCTACCTCATATTTTGTTAAGAAAAATAAATGATAAAATTGGGTCAGAATTCAACATAATGCCTGGCACAGTAAGGGCTTCAAAATAAGAGGTAACTTATTATTAGTAATGGTGTTAGGAAAAGTAGTAATGTTATACAGAACCAAGGTATATCACAGCTACCGGTAGTTCTGAAATTTAAATCCTGAATCCTGGCTGAGCGAGGTGGGCTCATGCTTGTAATCCCAGCACTTTTGGAAGCTGGAGGCAGGTGGATCACGAGGTCGGAGTCGAGACCAGCCTGCCAACACGTACCCGTCTCTACTAATGACTGGTGGTGGTGGGCAGGCCGCCTGTTCTCAGCTACTCGGAGAGGCTAAGGCAGGAAGAATCATGTAAAGGAAAAAAAAAAAAAAAAGAAACCTGAGGGAGAAAGTAAGAAAAAAAAAAAATATGCAAAAAACAAAGTGAAAAAAAAAGAACAAACAGGAGGGAGAGAGAAAAAAAAAAAAAGTAAAAAAAAAAAAAAAAAAAAACACAAAAAAAAAAAAAAAACAAAAACTGCCTCAGCACCTGGTGCACCGCATCTCGAACAGTCCTGATCCCACGTTAGCCGCAGTGACACTCACATCTTTCCTACAGACAATACACGGCCGACTTTGGCGCGTCTCTTCAGCAGTTGCTGCTCGGAGGTGAACGTTTAAGTATTTATTGACTTTCTAACTTCAGTTTGTTGTTGAATCTCAGAACTGTATATTAGTCATTAAACTTTCCAAAAAACTAAGAAAATCTTTGACAAACTAGAGCTCCTGAGGATATTCACCAACCAGGTGGTCTCCTCCTGTCCTATCAAATGCAATGTTGGGCCCCTAGCCTGATTTAAAGCCACCTGGTCTTTCCAGACTAGAGAGGCATGTGTTCAGTGGTTCTTACAACCACAAAGGGGATGAGGAGCTCTCATCCGCTCTACCGTGTGTGCCGCAACAAAGGGACTCTTCGTTATCTGCCTTGGTGAACTGTTCTGAAAAAGAAAATCCAACCACAACTATCTTTTTTTTTTTTTTTGAGACGGAGTCTCGCTCTTGTCACCCAGGCTGGAGTGCAGTGGCCGGATCTCAGGGCTCACTGCAAGGCTCCAGCCTCACCGGGTTCACACCATTTCTCGTCTGCCTCAGCCGTCCCGAGTAGCGCTGGACGACAGCGCGCGCTTGCCACCCCCTCGCGGCCGGCTAAGTTTTGGTTAATTTTCAGTAGGACGGGCGGGTTCAGCTGTGTAGCCAGGGCGTTGCGACTCGCGATCTCGCCTGATTCGTGATGCCGGCCCGTCGCTCGGCCTTCCCAAGTGCTGGGATTAACAGAGCTGAGCCAACCGGCGCCCGGCCAACACAACTAGTCTTTTTTAAAAATTAAAGATCAATTAAAATAAGCTATACTTTTCCCAAAAGATTTAGAACGCTTAAGAAAAATGGAATAGATCGTTTCCTAACAAAACCTGGCCTCCAGACTCCACTTAGAGGCATTGTAGGTCACTTCCACTATTTCTTTTCTTTTTTTTTTTTTTTTTTTGAGACGGGAAGAAGTCTCGCTCAGTCGCTCAAGCGCTGGAGTGCAGTGGCGGCGGATCTCGGCTCACGACAAGCTTCTGCGCTCCTGGGTTCACAGCATTCTCCTGCCTCCGGCCTCTCGAGTAGCTGGGACTACAGCGCGCGCCACCACACCGGCCCCCTATTTTGGCGTTTTAGTTAGAGACGTTTCAGCTGTGTATAGCCAGGATGGTCTCGATCTCCTGACCTCGTGATCCGCCCACCTCGGCCTCCCAAAGTGCTGGGATTACAGGCGTGAGCCACCGCACCCGGCCACTCCACTATTTCTTATGCTGGGAGAATAATTTGATGTCATGCCTATTGAATGTCTTTCTAAAGCTTGATTCATCAGGAGGAACTGACCAGAAGTCTATGCACAGACATTTGGCTTTCACTGTAATTCCTACTCAAAACTCCCTTTCACTGATTATGAGCAGGTTGCTTAGCTAAAATGAGAAATACAGCAAGAAGAGTGATGGAAGGAGCTGGCTTCAGCTGTCCCAAAGACATCATGAACACTGGAAACAGGTCATACATATACCATTTTTATTTCTCAGTCCTCAGAATTAGAATATTGTGTTCCTAGAGGCTTTGTGAAAATTGGAATACATTGCCATGACCTGCACAGGATAGAGGTGGTTAATATGGCTTATCTTGCTTGTAGATGTTTACTCTTCATCCCTAAGGGAAACTGGAAGGAAAGCATGCTATAGAGAGGACCTGCTTTGAGAGTATGTGTCCTCTGGGACAAGTGGAATGAAAGAGAGGATAGAGGCAAAGATAATAAAAAGGGGAGAGAGGGTGAGACTTGCTGGTGGAGGACAGTTGCAAAGAAAACTCATGATGAGAATAACATCACATTTTTTTGCATTGATGCGAAACCGAGGCTGAGTTTGAAACGAAGATATAGTGTCTGCAAAAAAGAATCAGCAGAGATGTTAGGTATCTTGATGCACACTGAGCCTATGAGATGCAGCTTAATTTAATTTAATGATGTGAATAGGCCATTTCATAAGTGGTAGAAATTACCATAAAGCGTTTGCAGCTAATGACAGGGCATGGATGATGTCATAGGAACCTAAGTCTGGATGAGCTATGGATTGAATTTTTACTATGGGACACCCTTCTACATGTTGCTGTGGAAAAGAATTGTCTTCAAGAAATGTACATCTTCTGCATTTCCTCTCCATCTCTGATACTTACAAAGTGCACATTATTTGGTGACAATACAATTGGGATTTCAAGTGCGTATCATTCCTATTTCCTTCTCTGAAGAATCAAGAGCAGTCTGGGGGTGGGGAGAGCTTGGGTGATTGACAAGGATGTGGCAGAGCCCTGGTTCCACTATGAATTATAGTTCTTACCCTGCTTACTGTCACTCTTGTGGGGCAGCTAGTGTGCCTCAGAGCATTGCTGTTCTGTGAGAAGCTGAGATCTCGATTGTGACATTCTTGAAGTTGGTGTTTACTTCTCTCTGAATAAACAAAGGTTGACAACTCAGACATCTTACAATTAGTACTAGATTTTTGAAGAATAGGCTTTTAAAAAACGAAAAAGCATTTCACTTTCCATAGCTAATAAATCTTATTTTGAGAAAAATGTACTTTTAAGAAAAAAAAAAGCCTGTCTGTCACTGTAGACCCTTTGGCTTAGAAGGTAGGCACCCTCCCATAGAAACAGAAAGTCTGTCTAAATTAAAATTGAAAACCACAGTTGACTAATTTTGAATTTATAGCTCTGCTGTTGGCTTCTGCCATAGTATTAATTTCAATGGCTTCAATTAGAAAATGAAACCCATAGCATTCCATACGAGAACAGGTGAAAAGTCAGGGACATTTGGAATTTTCCTAGAAAAAGACAAGTCTTAGGAAGCTCTCTGGGATGGAAGGAATTTGCCACACTGAGAGTCAGACATCCAAAGGACTGCGGTTGGCTCTTCTGCTCATGGGCACTGGTGAAGGCATTTTAAAATGCAAAGGATGGTAACTCTGTAAATCAATGAGGTTCATAACAATCATGCATTTACCAAATTTTTACAAGCACCTGCCTTATGCCAGGCACTGAGGGTAAGGTGATGAATAAGCCCTTATCAACTCTCATCCTAGATATTTACTCAATAACACATGTGAAAATGCCAAGAAGGAAAAGTTAAGTATAAAGAAAGCCTTAAGTTGGTTCAGAGAAATAAAATTGCATTTTTCGGATAGATGTTTGTGGAAGGGGCCTTACGAGGTAAACCTGTCCTATGCCGTCAGCATATATTCCCAGTTAGTCTCAGATTGGCCTCTGTGATGACAAACTCAGAGGGTCTTGGTTAGGAGGGGAGGGGTGAATTTGTCTGGAGGCCATTTTCAGGAGGTATGGAGGAAGATTTGGGGAATAGGCCTGGGGCCATCTCGTGTACTCCTCCTCTGAAATGGGGAGTAAGTGAATTGCATTATATTTTATTTTAGATCTTTGTCCCAATTGAATAAGTACCAGAAATTCGTAAAACCTTCTCAAATTCACAATATATTTTGAGACCAGGAAAATGGCTCCTTGAGGAGTTGCCACACTGTCTTAACCTGGTCTCTGGAAAAATTCAGTCCTGTATTATAACTGGGCTTTTCTCATAAATGCTTTTTTTTCTTTTTCTTTTTATTATACTTTAAGTTCCGGGATACATGTGCAGAATGTGCAGGTTTGTTACATAGGTAAACACGGGACATGGTGGTTTGCTGCACCCATCAACCCATCATCTACATTAGGTATTTCTCCTAATGCTACCCCTCCCCTAGCCCCCCACCCCCCAACAGGCCCCGGTGTGTGATGTTCCCCTCCATGTGCATGTGTTCTCGTTGTTCAACTCCCACTTATGAGTGAGAACATGCGGTGTTTGGTTTTCTGTTCCTGTGTTAGTTTGCTGAGAATGTTAGTTTGCTTGTTCATCCATGTCCCTGCAAAGGACATGAACTCATCCTTTTTTATGGCTGCAGAGTATTCCATGGTGTATACGTGCCACATTTTCTTAATCCAGTCTATCATTGATGGGCACTTGGGTTGGCTCCAACTCTTTGTTATTGTGAATAGTACTGCAATAAACGTATGTGT